GAATTAAGAGTCTAATAATGACTGTAAAAACATTGCCAATTTTCACAAAGACGCATCTGGTTCATGAATGTCCTTTAGGGAAGGGACCTACCATCCTTACCTAGTCTGGTCATGTAACTCCAGACCCACAGCAATGTGGTTGACTCTTAACTGTCCTCCAGGATGGACAATAAATGCTGGCCTAGTCAGTGAAATCCTCGTCCTGTGAATAAATGTAAAAAAAAATGAGTAGTCAAAAATTTGGGAGGTGGAATATTCTGTAGGAAAATGTCTCTTTGGCAGAAAGAATAGAAAGGTAGTGAGGCTGCAGAACATTGAGGTGCAGAGAGACCTGGATGTATCTCGTACATGAATCGCAAGAAGTAAGTATGTGGGTACACCACACTCTTGGAAGGATGTGATAGAAGGGGGTGCAAAGGAGATTCACCAGGACACTGTCTAGGATGGAATATTTTAGCTATGAAGAGAAGCTGATAAGTTTGATTTGTATTCTTTGGAATAGTGAAGTTTGATGGGGGTTCCTGATAAAGGTGTATAAGATTATGTGGGTCATGGATAAGGTGGATGGAAAGCAGCTGTTCCCTTTAGTTGAAGGGTCAATTAAAAAGGACACATTTTTAAGGTGAAAGGCAGGTGGTTTAGTGGGGATTTGATGAAAAAGTGTTCTCCCAAAAGATGGTAGAAATCTGGAAGGGCTGCCTGAGAGGGTAGTTGAGGCATCCCATGTAATCTCATAACCTTTAAAAAGTACTTGAATGATCACTTGAAGTATCATAACATTCAAGGCTATTGCGGGAAAGTGGGACCAGTGTAGATCTAATCTGGCTTTGTTGGTGCAGACTCAATGTGCTGAAGGGCCTCTTCTGTCCTATATGATTCTATACAGCAATTGTTCAGGAATGTAAATAGATTCTTATTGATTATGAAAAGAGAAATGGAATATAAAAATAGGTATATCTTGCTACAGTTGTACAGGACAATGGTGAATCCACATCTAGAGTGTACAGTTTTGACCTCCTTATTTAAGAAAAGATATAATGCTTTAGAAGCCATTCAATGAAGGCTCACTGGACTGAGGCCAAAACAAAATAGAAATAGGAACAGGAGTAGGCCATTAGGCACCATGATCCTGCTCTGCCGTTCAATAGATTCACAGTAGATCCGACAATCCTCGTCCATTTTCTTGCCCTTTCTTCGATATCCTTGATTCACCTACTGATCAAGAACCTACCTGTCTCAACCTTAAATGTACACAAGGACTCTGCCCCCACAACTCTCTGTGGCAAGGAATTCCAAAGACTCTCACCCTCTGAGAGGATAAATTCCTTCTCAACTCAGTCTTAAATTGACAACCCTTAATTGTGATACTATGCCCTCTGGTCGTAGTCTTTCCCATGAGGTGAATCATCGTTTCAATATTTACCCTCTCAAGCCCCTCAATGTTGCAATGAGATTCCCTCTCATTCTTCTAAATTCCGGTGAGTCCCAAACTGTTTACCATTTACTAATAAGATAATCCCTCTATGTTGGGGATCACCCTAGTGAACTTTCTCTGAACTGCCTCCAATTAAGTAACACCTCTCTTTAAATAAGGGGAGAAAAACTGCTCACAGTACTCCAGATGTGCTCACCAGTATCATGTACATCTGCAGTAAGACTTCCCTGCTCTTATTCTCCAACCCCCTTGAAATAAGGGCCAACATTCCATTAGTCTTCCTGATTACCTGCTGTACCTGTATGCTAAATTTCTGTGTTTCATGCTCAAGTACCACCCACCCCCCTCCCCCAGTCTCTTTGTGTTGGAGCTTTTTGTGGCTTTTCTCCATTTAAATAATACTTTTCTTTTGTTCTCTCTTTCAAAATGTGCAACTTCACATTTTCCCACATTATACTCCGAAATAACTCCACAGAGGCTCATACGCTGTCACCAAGTCAACCTTTCTTTCACAGGTAGAGAGTCCTTGACACTGATCCAGCACCCTCAGAGCTAACTCTGAGTGCACAGTACATGTGACACTCCTGTTTATATTTGCCAGCCAGGGCTCCTTGATTGTACCAGATTAATAGCCCCACTCAGAGAACTCATATTCTATGATTCAGAGATAGTGGGAACTGCCAATGCTGGAGAATCTGAGATAACAAGGTGTAGAGCTGGATGAACACAGCAGGCCAAGCAGCATCAGAGGAGCAGGAAAGCTGACGTTTCGGGTCTGGACCCTTCTTCAGAAAAAGGGTCCA